TTTGTGTTTAGACTGGGATATTATATATATATATGTATATGTATATATTTATACGCATTGCTGCAGAAATATATATATATATATATATATATATATATATATATGTCTGTGTGTATAATAAGTTTCGGAGATAATTTACAACAATAATATTCCATCGAGAGATCGCTTTTCAATTTCGTCGCAAAATTCTATCTCGCTCCGCATTATATTACATAGAAATATCGCGGTTACGAATGCGCGGAAAATAATATCCCGCGCGTTCTCTCCGCATTCAAATCCATCGTAAGAATATATACCTTGGGCGCTTTGTAATTTCTGCATCGCCAAGTTTCCTCTATTCATCGGTTTACGGTCGATTCATATGCGACGCGCTCCCATTGTCGGATAGGTGGTTTTAAAACCGGATGCATTCGCGGCTCTTTTCTTCCACCTACATCTTACACACCTACACATTATATATAGATATATATATATATATATATATACACATTACGTATTAACATCAAATATTTCATTGCAGAAAATTACATTAAATGTTGCAACTTGCGCGTAGTGGCAAAAAAAGAAAGAAAAAAAACTCGTCGAGCTTCGACCCGAGAAACATAATATCATTGTTGCAACGCATCAAATCAGAAAGTTCGATTCGCGAAGAAATCGATCTTTTTCCGATGTTTAACAAAATTCTGACTAAGTTCGCACGCACAGCCGTGCGGATTGCGCAACAAATATTTTTAATGTATCCACATTTAAGAAATTAATAATAGACTCCGTCTTTCTTATTTTGTTTGCGACATCTTTGCGCATCTCACACCTGCCAACAAACTTCTTCGAAGACGAAAAAACACAATTTTTTTTTTTTCTCCTAATTGATTCTTGATTAAAAAAAAAAATCCAAAAAGTCCGCGATACAAAACCATATATATATAGTGAAAACAAAAAACTGACAAAAATAGTCGAATCGTCCAATGGAAAAAAAATCTCGATTGCGATCAATTTAATTGTTGTTCGAGTTCTGCACCTTGTAGGATTTCTTGCATAATAATTTTTACATGGCGGACGACACCGGGACGACATACTTTGTACCGCGCGCGCACACACACACACACACACACACACACACGCGCAAGTACTTACAATTGTGTGAAGACGGTCGAGTACCTACGGTGGAGTATGGCGGATCGATAGGTTGTTTTGTGTTCAGCGGTTGTGTGTTGATATCCGTTAGATTGTTTCTGTGATTTGCGCGCTTAATTTTAACAATGCCATCCCGAGGAGAGGATATCCTTAAAGGCTTTCAAGTGTATCCTTTTTGAAAATTATAATTTATTTATTTAGAACTTCAATGTGTTTTTTTAGCACCGAACCAAACAGCGCGTTCTCTCGACGCAGTTTGCAGGTTAGGTTAGGGTTAGAAGTAAATTTCAATCAAATTCCGAGAAATTTTCTCTTTGAATTAAACAATTCCGCTCTTGTTCAACGTTGAATTTTTGCGCGCGCGATTTGTCTAAACAAATTGACAATTTTTTTATATACAGTCCTTAATTATTATTATTAATTACATCAGTAATTGGATGAATTTGCGCGACGCCGATAGCGGGAAGATACTGTGGCAAGGCAACGAAGATTTGTAAGTGGTTTTTAATGTTGTTTCTGAAATCCAGAATATTGTATCACGTTAAATAAATTAAATTCTTGTTTCAACTCAAATGGCATTTAAATGTAATGTAATTAAAAAATGAATTATTATATAATACAATTTGTAATCATTTTTATTTATTAATTATTGTGTAGATCTGTACCTGACTTCGAGCACGAGGCGCGCGTACCAAAGAAGATATTGCGATGCCGCGCGGTATCGAGAGAAATCAATTTCAGTTCAGCCGAGCCGATGGAAAGGTTTCGATTGGAGCAAAAAGTTTTGTTCAAGGGTCGTTGTTTGGAAGAATGGTTCTTCGAATTCGGTTTTGTCATTCCCAACAGCACCAACACGTGGCAAAGTTTGATCCAAGCCGCGCCGGAGAGTCAAATGATGCCAGCTAATATATTGAAGTGAGTAGAAATTATACATTTTTTTGTTTTTTTATTATTATTGTTGTTTCGAAAGTCGTCGTTGTTGTTTTTAACACGTTGCTCTTGTTGTTGTGAATAGCGGCAACGTCGTAATAGAAACGAAATTCTTCGACGATGATCTGTTAGTGTCTACCAGTCGAGTCCGTCTCTTCTACGTGTAAGATAATTTCCAAAAAAAAAAAAAAAACGGTCCTTGGAATTTTACGCAATGGGACCAATAAGTACAACCGGACTAATAACAAATAGAAGAGAGAAAGAACGCATCGAGTGTTCTTGAAAATGGATTAGAATCCGTCTCTATTGTGATTTTTTTACATTACATGTTGCGCGCGCCTGTGTTATTATTGCAAAATAAATGTTTGATAATTTTTTTATAAGTTTTCCACTTACACAACAAATTTAGATATTCGAGCACATTATTGTGTGACGTTATTACATAAGATTTGATGGAGAACAAAACAAAATAGTGGTTTTGTAGACAAGGCCTAATGTAAAAATTTAGACCGTCTCTCACATACCGTCTCTTATATGTGTCTCTGGGAAACATATAATACGTATTGTAAGCCGTTAATACCACTGTTAAGGCACACAATTTATTTATTATTTATTATAAGTACAAATGAATACACTATATATATATATATATAAATTTTGTACATATATTGTAATACACTACACATCGAATAAAAAGTTCTGATGAAGTTTAAATGTGTAATTTATTTATTTAGCTAAAATATACTTAAGTAGTTATAATTTTGGAAATATTAAATGTTTTATACGTTTTTTTTTTTTTTTGAAGAAGAAGTTATTTGTTAAAATCACTGTGAAACAAAAGAGTAGTTGTAATAACGTACATATATATTTAATATACGTATTTTAGCTTCCTATGCAAACGAGACACCAACGGCAAGATCCTCTTTCGCTACAGAATTTATATTTGCAAACTCTTTCTCTCTCTCTCTCTCTCTGTAAATTGTATATATCTCATCGTTGGTCAGAAATGTGCAACTTTTTTTTCGTAATACATCCGTACTATGACGACCGTGCTATTGATTTAGTGGTATACAAGCAACACATTTTTTTGGCTTCACCACACCCCCTTGAGGGTGTTCGCGTTGAGTATACTCTGTCCCCTACTCTGCTTACGTCGTACAGGTGTAAGGAAAGAAAAAAAAAGCGAAGAAAACGAAGGAAGAGGAAACGTCGGAGTTGTGCAGTTGACTTGAATCCGAAACGAACACTCTTCTCATCGCCAAAACTTGCAGCAGCGTGTAATAAAGCGCGCACTTCGCGCGCGAAAAAAAAAAAAAACATTAATTCAAGTGCGCTCGAGAGACTTGAGCGAAGAATTTTGCAGAATGGATCTGACCGAGGAAGACGAGAGCGGGAACGAAAGTGGCAGACAGTTGTTTCTAGTTGGCGCACCGCGCGATCCGCTTGTGTCGGCCAGTGCGATCGTAGCCTCGGCCGCGGGTGTTCCAGACGACATCAACCAGGGTGATGATCTACAGTCGGGCGCCTTGGCCGGTCTGATCAGCGGCGCGCAATCCACCTCGGTCTGCTTCCCTACGAAATTCAGTAAGTGCACGACGTGACCGTGTGTTACCCTCGAACCTGATTTAATTAAACCCGCCTATCTTTCTCTCTCTCCGTCTCTCTGGCGGAGACCTGCTGCCCGGCACCCCAAGTTGGGGTGGTGTTGCTCAATTAAGTTATTGCTAAGTGCATTAAGTGGATCCACAGTCAACCCTTTTTCTTAAATAGAGTTAGTAGTAATCAGTTTAACAGTTATGGAGCGGTTACTGTCTCGATGACATGATGAGAAGGTTGTCGCGGCTTGACTCTTGCGTCGCCACCACATTGCGGAGATGTTAAATGCACCGCGCTGATGTTCGCGGCTTCAATCTCGAAGTCTTCCACATCCTGTAGTACAATATCGCATATTGATCTCGTCTCCTTAAATTGAGACAAACTTGTATGATCCTTCCCACAGCGTACGACTTCTCGACCAGTCCCGAAAGCGAGGAGAGACCGTCCTGCGTAATCGGCAAAAGGAAGCAACGCAGATATCGCACCACATTTTCCAATTTCCAATTGGAGGAGTTGGAACGTGCTTTTCAGAAGACGCATTATCCCGATGTGTTCTTTCGAGAGGAGCTTGCTGTTCGTATTCAGTTAACGGAAGCGAGAGTACAAGTAATTTGCGACATGCTCTGTTCTGTTTCATATATAAATTTGCATTCAAACAATTATAATTGTATTAACTACGTCGTGTTTTTTTTTTTTTTTTGACACAAAATAGGTATGGTTTCAAAATAGAAGAGCCAAGTGGCGCAAGCAAGAGAAGCAATGCAAAATCGCGACTCACATGACGTCACATTTGTCACCGTCGGATTGTCAAGAGGTGCAACAACATCAGTCGCAACAGCCGGATCATCTGTTGCTGGAGTCACCGTGCAGTCCGCCTCCCATTTATCTCGGCATGGAATGGGCCGGTTTCTCTCCTTACAATAACACGGACAGCGCGTCGTCTCTTATTGTGAGCAACTTGAACAAACCACCAGAGACAGAGGCTGACGCTAACTCGCTGCTCGATCCAGAATTGTTACAACTAAAACCTCCGCGTTCCTAAAATACAGCTGTTTATAAGAGAATATATATATATATATATATAAATAAGTATTCGACAACATTATTCACAACAAAGAAAATATTCAGTCCGTGCTTTTTCTGAAGTTTTTTGATTCATTAAACACAATTGTAAAACGACGGCAATATAAAAAATTTTTCTGATCTTAGAGAAAAATTATGTGTATTATTGCGAAAGTTCACAAACGCTGTTTTCTCTCGGATTGTTTTCAATTAGAAATAAAAAAAAAGAAAAAAAATTGTATTCTAAAAAAATAAGAGATCAGAAAATTGTAACACGAACGTGTGTAATTAATACTTAAAGAACGACCGCGCAGTGCCTTGTACCCCGCAGATTGCAAGTATTTTGTAAAGAGAAAAAATTATATATATATAGGATCTCTCTCAATCTGTTCTGAGAACAATTCTCGAACGTTCTCTCTATATATATTATAAAAGAAATATAATAAAATTTGTATATCCACACACGCGCGTATATAAAAATTTACTTTCCACAATATATATATATATATATATAGATGTGTTACTCCAAATATAAAATAGTAACGTCATCTTTATTCAGTGCATATATTACAAGTCATTAAAGTAAGGTTAATTGATCCTAAGAGCGAAGCAACCTATCTAGAGACAACTCTTCCTGATCTCTCGCGAAATTCACTAAAAAAAATTCTTTCGAGTTTTCACGTGATGGAGCTTTTCTTTTTTTTTTTTGTTTTTTTTTTTCGAGACCGAGCTGAACACTTCCAATAACTCATTCGATCGGTATCAGTCAGGATTTGTTTTGTAATTCTCAATAGAACGTTTTTGAGACATAGTTTTTTTTTTTTGTTTTTTTGTTTTTTTTTGAATCAAATAAATTAGTGGCAAACGTTAGAAGGTTACGCAATATACGAGTACTCATCCGCGCTGTTTGCAGTACGTTCGATGTACTGTTTATCGATCAGAGTTTCGATACACTTTTTGATCATTCCGATAGAAGGCGCAAACGTAACTTTCGACTGACTCAGCACCTGAAATAACAGAATCATATTATTTACGTTTCGCTATTTCTCAAATTGAATTCCTTAAACTGTAAACCTCACCTCCTGTATAAGTTGATTGTGTCTCAACAGCTTGCGGCTTTTCATGATACGAACTATGGCCGCTTGCAAGAACATTTTCCGGTCCTCGTCCACACTGCGATGCGTGGCCTCCGCGTCTTGGGGCGCGTCCCGCTGCAACGCACCTGTCACACGAAACTTAGTTCTTTTGTTGGAGTAATCAAAATTTAGCTCGAGCACTGTGTCCTCTTCCAGATCGCCGGTCGATGATTTGTTTAGAATTTTGCAGTCAACGAGACTGCCGGCGTGTTTGATTAATTGTTCATGGGACAGATGCAATGACGTCGCTGCTTCGCGGCACGGTATCGAATCGCATTGTTCGAAAAGTAACAACAATGCCATTTGATAAGTTTGCACGGTGACTAAATACGGTTTCTTCAAGTAGTTGAATTTTAATTCGCCCTGACTCAGATGATGCAACCACGTTAACTTGCGACCGCTAAATTGCATGTGATAAAATGTCTCGAACGCTTGTATGGATTTTTCCAATTGCTGCGGAATATGAAACGGGCCTGCCGATGGCGGTAATCCGAGCGGCCAAGCGCCGGCTTGCAACACCTTCACCCCGAAACCGGTGCCCAATTGGTTCTCACCGTCTCCGTTTTCTCGCAAAGACGCCGTAAATTTCGCGTTCAGATCCGCCGAGACAGACATGTCCGTGAACATTCTGTGAAGTTTGTTCGTAAACTCGTAACCGCACGCTCGTTTCAGATCATCGATCATCATTTCCTCGGCGTCCATGGACTGCGATTGCTGATGTATCAATCGTTTCGCCAGCATTCGCGAATAAAACTTCTGAAACACGTCCTTGTCGTCCACGTATTTGAACACGGTTATCGACCGTTTCAATTTGTCTTCGATTTCGCTCTCCGAAGCTGCCTTTGGAGATTTTTTTAACAGAGAGTCGCAATATTTCGCCAGCTGTAACGTAAATGTAAGTTATTAATTAATAGAGAGAGAAAAAAATTGTGTCTCTTATATAAAATTTAAAAAAAACAAAAAAAAAACTATAAATTTCTGACAAACGTACCAATTCTGGCGCTCGGACCGGTTGCTTTGGAGCGGGCCTGCAATTCACAATGGCGGAACACGCTTTATCGAGGGCGCTCACAAAACTTTGATCCGATTTGAATACGTCCCTAATCAATTCCGAGTATTTAGAGTGTACTTTTAGCATATTTTCCACAAATTGGGTGTACACCTGAAAAAATTAATGAAATTTTCATCTTCTTGTTTAGCTGCTCAAAAATCTAAGACGCTTATCTTAGAAAAACGTTTGTCAATATATATACGCTACACTCACATTTTCTCCTTGCAAAGACCCAATTGCGTGCAATCCTTGTTGAATAATGTGTTGAGTTAGTTTTTGTATAAGCGGATCCAAACCTCCTGGCAAAGGTTTAAGCAACGGATAAAGAAGCGCCAGGCCGCGTATACTTTCGTTTTTTATCATAGTTTCCGCTTCCATGTGAAGCCAGGCAGCTTGCGCGGCTATCATCTTCTTCTCGCAACATTCTCTCACCTGCAACGAGAAAGCATCCACGTCGTTTGTATCCACACCGATTTGAAATAGAATAATAATTTTTGAAATTTTCACAAAAAAAAAAAAACAAACAAACAATGGCGCACTTTTGGTATAGAACTGTAATGAAGAAATTTATGCGCACGTTGCTCCTCTTGATTGAGTCTCCACGTGACTTTTTCCATGTAACGCGTAACGTTCGACTGCTGCAGCAACAACGCCGCCTCCGCCGTATAAAACACTCCGCTTGCTTGCAAATAAGGTTCTTCGAAAATTTCTTGATACAGCTGGACAATCAGAAAGTTTCTTTGTTTTTTAAAAAAGTTGCGTTTGATAAAACTTGTTTGTTCTCATAAAAAAACAATTAGCAACAGATATTACATGAATATATACAGTGGTAATAGAATAACAATAATAGTACACGGTAATATAGGTCCTGTTCCGTTATTACTGGCAGTATTGAACAATCTGTAGGATACGTAACGTGAACCTATAAATTTTCAGTACTGCCAGTAATAACGGAACAGGGGGATAGTACGCATGATGATACATTACATTTAATTGTCCCTTCATCTTGTATTTTTCCACCTGAACGAAACTGTCTATGACACCGCAAATAACATCGATAACATCGTCAGGCGCGAGTTCATACTTGGAATCTCTGTCGGCGTCGATACACACAAGCAGAAGAGAAACAAGCTTGTCTTTAAGCGGCATTATCATCTTCCTCTTCCAAATGTCCAGACCCAGCTCGCCGATCTCCATCTGTTCCTGACATTCATCGTCATTGTTAGAATTTACGCCATAAATGAGTTCCGCCTCCGAAAGTTTTTGCTTCTTAATGTGTTGTTGATTTAGATATAAGTACAAGCTATGCAGATAGTAAATGCCCTGGGAATACTCCATCCAGGCTCGATAATAAGCCTGTAGCATATCCTGCTTCTCATTGGAAACCTGCACCAGCATGAGTTCAACATGATTGATCAAAAACCTTTTTGTCTCGTTGTACAAACGATCCGCAAGTGGTTCCGGATAAGCAACGCACAGGGAATAGACATCGCTGCAATTGCACAACATTAAATATTTTATCACGCATGTTTTGTATTTTTTTTTTTTTTCTTGTTTAAATCCGTATATCTCTCGGATATGCTTGAATATACCTAAATCTATCGTTCCATGTGGCGCGTGGAATATTTGCTAGCGTTATCACTCCTTTGACAGTCTCTTGCAACGCGTTCCACGTTTGGTTAAAATCCACTCTTTTTGGTTTTAGTGACATCCTTCTTCTCTTCTCGATTGAGAAACGACGATTCGATTTTTTCTTTTTTCTTTTTTGATATCAACAATTTGCTAATTTTGTAAAATTATATATTCACTAATATTACAAACCTGCAAAACAACAATAATAAAATCAGTGATTTCGCGCACGCAAATTATATATATAGAGAAATTTCAATTATTCAAAGATTAATCCGTTCTTCGGATTAATCTCTATCCGAAAAAAAAACATGAAACAAACAAAAGCTAACGGAGAGACCGCAAGAGCCACATTCCAAGAATAATTTTCCGAAGACGAGCGTAAGACGGGGGGGAGGGGGAGTTTTTGCAAGCACACACTTTGTGTTTTCCGAGTGTTTTGTATATCATCGGTTTAAAAATAACATAAAAGATCGAAATATGTCACACACATGGATATCTCATGGCCGTTCTACTTTTCTTCCGTCTTCTTCTCGCGCTCGCGCCGCAAAGATTTTTTAAGGCGGCAGAAGAAAAACCAAAACACAAAACCGAGCGACGGAGAGAGTTTTCGAATATTTCGAAACGAAAAAAAAAAAAAAAAAACAACTCCCCGAACTTGACGTCGAACAACAACAACAACAACAACAACGTGCGAACACACTCGAACCAGTTCGAAAAATCACCAAAAAATCAAAATCACTCGAATGGCGAAATTTTTGGTTTCGGACTTGCGAACGAGGAAGGAGGTTAACTTTAGCGTGCTCTCTCCGCTCTCCGCGTTGCGAAATATCGACTTGAATGCACAAAGGGGGCACAAATAATAATAATTCTTCGGGGGATATTATCGGAGGTGTGAGAGAATCGCGCGGGCCGCACGCGCGCGTGTCTCTGCCATTGGGGGCCACACAACAGCTGATTCAAAGATGATAAACGTGCCTATAACCACTAACCAAGAAATCGCGCTCCGTGTGACCGCGCTCGGTCTTTTCGCGACGACGACGACGACGACGGCGACGGCGGCGACGGCGACGGCGGCGACGATGGCGACGACGTCTACCGTCCCTCGGTGTCCGCAACGACGAATCGTACTGGGCCAAACTGCTTATTTTTGGGGCGGGGACGCGAATCATTCCCTGCCGTGGCGGGATGCATGACAATCACGATGACTCGCCGTCTCTAGGTGGAATACAAATTTTTCCCCTCGCGCGTACACACACACACACACACACTCCTCAGTTTTTTTTTTTTTTTTTTTTTTTCAAGTGTGCGGTAGCGTTGAAACGTTTGCTTGTTAATAAATTGTTTTCGCGTTTTTATTTCGCAACTCTCTCGTTTTTTTTTTTTTTTTTTTNTTTCCTTACCTTACCCTTTCAAATCCCGCGGAACAACAACACACGTTTCACGCTCTCTCTCTCGCGCCTACGAAATCTTCAACAACAACGTGTATACGCATCAACATTTCACGCTCTTTTTTTTTTTTCTTTTCTTTACTTCGTACCTACTCCGAGCAGATGCGAGAGAGCACACGGAGTTTTCCCCCCGAAGCCGAAGAGCTTCTTCTTCGGACTACGGACCACACTTGCAACTCGGAGATTCGTGCGGCGTTGCGCATTTGGAATTCGACCAATCAGAACCAAAATTTATCTACGTTGTATGTAATCGCAAGCCGATATAAATATTCACGGTCGGGATCTTGTGTTCGAAGATCGTCTCTGAAAATTTAATTTTTTGTTTCAGAGACGCCGAAGAGAAATAGAACGTGACCGTGGATAATCCTATGGAAGATGAAAACTTACGACGATCTTACAAATATTATGAAATTCGGCTTCTGAATACCGGATCTTAGACTCGCGTCGACGATCATCCAATTTCAATTGCTCTCGTTTCTCTCGGCTCTATTCCTTTGGAGAAAACAATCCGTCGAAGAAGAGAGAAAACTGTGAGAGCGGTTGCACGCAGGCTCCTCCAGGTTTCAAATGTCATCATCGCTTTTCCGTCCCGGTTCGTCAGCGCTAAGTCCACACGTGACGCACATCGCAACTACTACGTGGGGTTCGCAAAGCGAAAGAACCGCTCGCCGACTTTATTTATTTGAAAAATCTGACGAAGTTTGATTGCAAAAAGTTAGCGCGCGCGTGCTATATTTGTTTAAACCACACCAGCTCGCGTTATCGCATCTGACAACTTGGTAAAAAAATTTTTCATATAAAATTCGTATAAAATTTTACGGACATATTCGGTATATAAATTTGCACAATTGGATATAAATTATTTTAATTTGTGTATAAGTATATATGATTGTATATGAAAAGTTTTTTTTAAATATAGCAAAAATATAGTTTTATATAATTTTTTTCTATCTAACGTGATATTATTATAATAAAGTTATTTTGCAATTTGATATGGAATGTCTCTGAAGCCATTTTCTTAAAAAAAGAAATTCTCCGTGTGTAAAATTGTATGGACATATTCGGCATATAAATTTGCACAATTGGATATAATTATTTTAATTTGTGTATAAGTGTATACGATTGTATATCAAAAATTTTTTAAAAATATAGCCAAAATATAGTTTTATATAATTTTTTTGTATCTAACGTGATACTAATAAAGTTATTTTGCAATTTGATATGGAATATACGTGATACTGATAAAGTTATTTTGCAATTTGTGTATATAAGTATATGTGAAAAATTTTTTACCAGGAAGTCTGTTCGAAAGTGGGACGGAAAAATTATATACGCGCTGTATACACTTGTGTTCTATTAAAATAAATTTGTTTACACGTGTGTGTGCGAAAACAATCTTCGGCGATCTTCGGCGATCGTATAATTTTTTTTTGTGCGGATATTTTGTCGAAAAGTTTAGGCCTGTTCTACAATACAGTCGTAAGCTGTAAGTCGTAAGAAATCGACCAATTAAGAGCCGTCTACAATGGAGAGTTGTAGGCCGTAACAGTAAGAAATTGACAAATCACAATCGATTATTCTTCTGTACTTTGTCTGTGATTGGTCAATTTCTTACTATTACGGCCTACAACTCTCCATTGTAGACGGCCCTTTACAGAAGAATAATTGATTGTGATTGGTCAATTTCTTACGACTTACAGCTTACGACTGTATTGTAGAACAGGCCTTACGTGCGCAGCTCCTATTGTCGGTAACATGTTACCGACGGATGTGAGAGAATTTGGTTGCCATCTTTCGAACGCGTGACGAATGGCGGCGCTTCCAGCGATGCGAAACCCAGAAAATCTAGTATGGCGTTCGAGCGTGAAAGCAGCTGCTTGTGTTATTTGAAAATACGTAGTTTCTCGCAACCGTAACAAGCCGGGCGATCCGAGCGTTTGTGGTGAAACGTAATAATAACGTACCTTTGATCTCTGAGATAATTTATTTAGGCCGCCGGCGAGTATCGTAATTTTTGTTTTCCCAATCGTTTGTCATCATCGTCATGACGGATCGGACGGAACTGAGGATGAACGTGGCCGCGTTAAAACGAGTCGATCCCTACGTTAAGAACATCCTCGAGACCGCGACTCACGTCGCTCTGTACACATTCAACGCGGATGAGAACGAATGGGAGAAAACCGACATTGAAGGCGCTTTGTTTCTCTACTCGAGAAACGGCGAGCCTTACAACAGCATCCTCATAATGAACAGGTAGTGTATACACACATTGCCTCTGAAACATAATATATACATAGTGTACAAGTATATTTACAAGTGTATATCATACGCTTGAGTATGATTCATTGATTAAATATGAAAACTGTTTTTTGATCGCGAATTTATCCGGTGGATTTGTATACGTTTTTTTTTTGTATTAATAATTGGCGTTGATCGCACAGAAACAAAAATTTTAAATGTGTTGCAGATTGAATACAAATAATTTAGTAGAACCAGTTTCGCCGGGTTTAGACTTGCAACTGCAGGAACCATTTTTGCTATACAGAAATTCTAGAGGTAATATTTATGGTATCTGGTTTTATGAGAAAGAAGAATGTGTGCGTATTGCAAATATGCTAAATGAACTTCTGAAGGAATGCGAAGAAAGCCTCAAGATCAATAACAAGCCTGTAGTTAAGGCTAAGAAAACATCGGGATCTAATGTAAACAATGTAGATATATTCAGTATGCTCAGCAAGGCGCAAGAAGATTTTAATACAAGTAGAAGCAGCGGAGGAGGTAAAGGCAGCGGTGATAGCGGCAACAAAGTGAGATCAAAATCTCCATTGTCATCTACAACTGACAATGTTAGCGGACCTCTGGCAGCTCCCTTAGGACCTGACGTTACTTCGCAAAGTGTAATGGACTTTTTTGCAAAAGCAAAAGTTGGTATTTTATCAGTAGTTACTTTTTTTTTCATATTTTGGTATTTTTGATTTTTTTCATTTATCACGTCGTGTATTTTTTGACTCAGGTAAATCCAGTACATTTTAAACCAAGTGATCAACCCGCTCCTGGTAACGCCGTTGCAATCGAGACCAAACCGTTTTTCGGACGTTTTCCGTCTTATCCGGCGGCGCACACTCTAGAACATATTGAAAAACAACAAAGATCCATAACGCCGCAACCTTCGACCCAATCGCAATCGACGCCAATTTCTTCTACGAATAAATCTAAAAAACGAAACAAAACGACTCAACAAGAATCGTTAGTGTCCACAACGGCACCGACGGCGCCGGTCACGCAAGATCTTCCACTACCTGTCACACGGACTAATAATGATTCGAACGGGTCGACTGGATTTCTCAGGATACAGTCGCCAACCAATACGTCCACTTCGAAAACTTCTAAAGCTTCAGACATTACTAATGCCAACAACGCTAATCCTCTCGCATCATTATTTGCTCACGCTTCTGGAAGCACAGTAAGACAACACCTTCAAAAATCCTCGTGATTCTTCGAATATTGTATTAAGAACGTTCAAAAATATTTTAATCTTGTTTTTTTTTTTGTTTTCTTTTCTGGTTTTAGTCATCAGACGATATTATGCCTGCGGCAGCACCCACGTTGTCAGGAAGAGGATCAGCGCCAGCTTTAATACCTCCTGTTATGTTCGCTGCGTCTAGTCCCTCATCAGAACCTTTGAACAGACCTCTGGAACCATTGACGAGGAATCAGCTTTTACAAGCGTTCAATTACTTGTTAAAAAGTGATCCGGACTTCATCAATAAGCTTCACGAGGCCTATGTTAAATCATTCGGAGAAATACTCTCTTAAATTTTACTCCGTACCCATCACCAATGTTACTGAGAAAACCTATTTTACGGGTTATGACTGAAAAAAAAAAAAAAAAGAAAAAGAAAAAAAGAAAGAAAAAAAAAAGAAACAAGCTAAATCTCAATTATACCTAGACGTATGGTACGACATTTGTACATACGTAGGTATAAAATTTATAAATGCTTGAAGAGAATCAATTTGACTTTAAAAGAAACTGGAGTTTCTTTTAAAACAAAAAAAAAATTTTTTTGTTTTCTCGTTCCAGGTCTATAACAACAAAGTAATAAAATAGAAGACAACATATATTGCAATAGAACTGGCGCGATTAATATATACTTTTTAACGTTTACGCCTACTTCCTCGCTCTTTTCTCGATTTCCTATTTGTTTGTTAAAAAATTTAATTTCGAATTGTCGAGCCCGAGTTAACCTCCGTCGAGTTATTTTAATTATTTGCTGGATTTAAACGATTTCTTGTCGGACATAAAAAAAAAAACTCCAGTTATCCTGCCAGATTACTGCAATCGAATCGATGCTGAGTATAATACGGACATTTAATAAGTGACCAACATATCGGCCGCGTTACTGTTGGATGGCAATTTTTTTTTCACAGGAAAGTCACAAATAATTAATTACAAAATGATTGAAAATCAACAAAGATTTTGGTCTGGTTCACAGATTTTATCTTAAAACTGTCTGTTTTGTTTATCCGTTTTTGGTAAATAAATTTAACTCGCAAATAAAAACTCGTTCGCATACTGGCAAGTACAAGTTAACAAATTGCAACGTCATTCCGCTGGCTAGTAAAAAAACGAAAAAAATCGAACCAAGCCAACTATTCTATTTGGAATTAAACAAATTCAAAGAAACAAGAAGAGAGTAGGGAAGAGAACACTAAAGATAAAGACGACGAATTGCGCCGGCTCTCTTTACAAGAATCTTGAACAGTATTTTTTTATAAAATAATAATGCGCTTAATTCGTGAGATGACTCGAAGTACGTACGGAGAGATGGTGATTTGGTAATAAAAGACATTTAAATGAAATAAAACAAAAATGAATGAATGAATGAATAAGTAAGAAAAACAAAAAACAAACACTTGAACTTGAAGAAAAAATCAACTGGTAGAACTTTTTCAAATCGACGAAATACGTGCTCTACTGGAAAAAAAAAACAAAAAAAAAAAAAAAATGATAAATCGTTTTTAAGCTGTGATGCTAACATTTATTATTATATTATACGCGAATTTTATGACTGATATTTGCAAATACAGCACGAGATCACTTTTCTGAGCTGATCAAACGAATAAATACCTATTTTATAGAGTAATGACGCGTACCCTACCTATATATCGGATACCTCGATGTAAAATGTGTATGTTATTGATGGAAAAAAAAAGAACAAATAAATAGAGACAAAACATTGAGAAGACAGTTAAAAAAAAAAAAAATGCACTTTTAGATGATTTTTCAGAATTTATTTTTCACAAGATTAACACGTGTAAAACAAAGATCTGGATAAATCTTACATGTATTATTTTTTTATTTTAGTTCATTATTATGTCGTACTATCACAATATAGTGTTTATACAGAATACGTTCTTAAAAGGTAATATAATTATAAAGTAGGTAGGGTAAAAAGAGAGTACACTTTCACACACAAATTTAATAGCTGCAGTTCAAAAATCGCAGCACAACCCCCCATTTGTGTATTAACTACAAATTTTATTTTTATCGTGTGAATTTCATTGATTTGTAAAATTATAAATTTCTTATACTTTAGAGAGAGAGAGAGAGAGAGAAAGAGAGAGAGGCTACGCACAGTTATTTGTAAAAGTAAAATTTATATATAATAATATTCTTAGAGAGAAAAAAAAATAGAATTCCATAAATGGTCGCAACGTTAACAAGTCGCGCCAATTATACCACCCTATCACTAACATCATTTGAATTCGATTTATCATTCAATATATAATAAAAAATACATATATATATATATATATACGAACATATTTTATATTTACAATACTTATAACGACATGTGTCACATATATCATGTCGCAACGTCATGTGTTTGAGGGTCTTGACAAAACATTCCGACCCGTTTCTCACTCTTTGTTTTTCGCGACAGCGCGTGTTTCGCGCGCCGTCGCGCGTCGACGTTTTTTTTTTTTTTTGAGAAAATGCAACAAGTAATACATTATCGTTACGATATTAATTTACAATAATAGTAGTTGCTTTTTCTTCAGAAAAATTCACAGCCAAGTCAAGAGCCTTCCCGTTAGGCCCCGCGCTAACTTTCTATTATAGCCTTTTACACAGCTGGACTTTTAAGTATATGACTCGACCTTTTTTTTTTGGAAAATCTCGCGGTGATTTGCGTATTTATAATATATTTATGAATTACAAATGGGGTAAAAGATCGTGGATTTTGTTCAATCACACGTCGAAGTTAGAAGATTATCGCGTCAAAAAGAAGTCTAAAAGAATCTAGCAGATTCGATTCGACTTCAACGTGAATCCTTGGCACCTTGGTACGGGGTGAATTCGAATGTACATACGTAAAATATATGGCACAACTGTGCGAGTCATATATATTAGAACCAGCGCAATCAGCTCTACTAAATTTATTAAACTATTATTTATATTGGCAGAACATCTCGTTGAAAAAAAACTTTTGTCTTTGGATATTTGTGGAATTTTTTTTTTTTTTTAAACCAGAGGCACTTTCGGTGGTCCGAGTAAGGGCGGCCCGTTGTCGGGATGTGACACGTATTTATTTCCGTTTTGCGACTGTATGGGCTCGAGACATCTTATACCGATGACAACAATGATCAACAGAATGATGAGTCCGATAATACCAACGACGATGGCAACCGTCGAAAAGAAATTGTCCGTCTGCCTTTCCTGACTGTTCGGGTGCAAGGGCGCCAAATACGCACGTTGATCGCCAGCCAACTCTACAACAACATTAATCAACAAGCAATACATTACAATCAGCGTTGTAACAAACAAATAAAGTGAACAAATATTTTTTCGCAAGAGCTTCGAGTGAGTATTTCGTTTAAATTATATTTTGTTTTAGATTTGTTTTTTGATTTTTTGATATTTTTGAATTTTTGAATTGTTTTATATTTATTTTTAAGAAATTAATGTCAATTTGCAATAATAATTTGTGGAAACATCGCGTTCTAATTAGATGCGGAGCAACAGCTTAATATGTACGCATATGTGTGGTGCTATATACATATATATACATGTATATATGTACATAACACAACACCACCATTATATATACAGGGTGTCCCGTAATTGCCGTCTCACCGCTCGTAGGCAAGAAGAAGGGGTTATTTCTAAGACGAAAAGTCCTGTACCACTTTGGAAGATTCGCAATAATTAAGGAAATATCAATTAATAAAGATCCGCTAATCAGCGTGCATTCAGCGTAAAAGGACAGCCTATTTTATTAACTCCTTCCATTCCGTCGCTACGGCGCGATAGACCGGGCTGTCCTTACGCTGCATGCAAACTGATTAGCGGATCTTTATTAATTAACATTTCGTTAATTATTGCAAATCTTTCAAAGTGGTATAGGACTTTTCGTCTTAGAAATAACCCCTTCTCTTCTCGCCTACGAGCGGTGAGACGGCAATTATGGGACACCCTGTATGTAATGATATGCATATATGCAGTGCAATAAACACCACAGCAGATGAGAAAAATGTAGAAAATATTCTAGATCTAAATAAAAAAACGAGGGAAAAAGAGAAAGAGAGAGAGAGAGAGAGAGAACACTTGTATTAGAACAACCTTGTAGGGTCTTGTTGAGTCTGCTTTTCATCGCGGGGTTGTCTACGTGGTTGCAGAGATCCTGACTGCAACAGAGAAATCCCGTAGGGCACTTACGACTTTTATAACTCTCGTCCAGACAACCGCTGTGAGCGTTGTGTTCCGCTTTCAAAAGCGGCACATTTGCACCTAATGGTATTTCTGTAAAGCAACCCTTTCTACCGCGACACATGTATCCCTGACGAACGCAATCCGGTTGATTGCAGTAACATCTCACTTCGTCGGAATAATCTGTAACAAAGGAAATAATTCAAACCTTCGATAAAATTATATCGGATGTTAAAATATATTTGTTTACTTGTTTTTTTTTTTTTTTTTTTTTTTTTTTTTTTTTTTTTTTTTTTTTTTTTTTACTTTTAACACATTTATGTTGTCTTCTATAAAATATATGTAAATTAATATATCATGTGTCTCGATGAAATAGTCATGAAACACGGTCGGCATGAATGTGAAACACAAAAAAGTGTGTGAAACTACACCGAAAAAATTGTATTCTTGTTTTGAGGATATATCCCACTTACTTTAAGTATATTTTATACTAAAATAGGCGCCGAGAAGAGTTTTGTATTTTAAGAGGAAAATCCTCTAAATAGTAATATTGATAAGAATATATACTGATTAGAATATAAAAAGCCTCTATCAGAAAAACATATATATCTCACTATCGAAAAAAACTATATTCTTAAATTAAGAATATATTCTTAAATAAAGAATATATTCTTAAATAAAGAATATATTCTTAAATACAGAAGAATATCATCTAAAATCTTTAAGAAGATTTTTTAAGTATAAAATCTTCTGCTTATAATATAATTTTTTCGGTGTATATATATATATATACACGTACACCGAAAAAATTGTATTCTTGTTTTGAGGATATCCCACTTACTTTAAGTATATTTTATACTAAAATAGGCGCCACGAAGAGTTTCTTATTTTAAGAGGAAAATCCTCTAAATAGTAATATTGATAAGAATATATACTGATTAGAATATAAAAAGCTTCTATAGAAAAACAAATATATCTCACTATCGAAAAAAACTATATTCTTAAATAAAGAATATATTCTTAAATAAAGAATATATTGTTAATTTTAGAAGAATATCATCTAAAATCTTTCAGATTTTTTAAGTATAAAATCTTACGAGAATATAAATTTTTTCGGTGTACAGTCAAACCTCCGATAACTCGAAAACCCCTCTATAAGACGAAAATTTTTTTCATTTCCTTCCGCTCCGCGGAAAGGAAAAAAGATCTTCGATAAGTCGAAACCTCTACAAATCGAAGACTTTAGCTCTTCCTTTGAGATTTGAGTTATCGAGGTTTGACTGTGTATTCACAAAAAGTACATATTTTACAAGTTTTCGAATTTTCTCCCGTTTGTTGTCGTTGCCGACCACTTCTCTTCAAAACTAATGCGAGGAAATTGAGTTTTTATGTTCCAAAAGCTTGTCAAGAGCATTCAAGAGTGTTCGATTTCTTTCAGGCTCTCTTCGAGCGTCCAGCTCGTAAAAAACGAATTTCAAAAGACGAAAATGTCTTTGCTACAGAAAGACAAGTTTCGAGCAAATCCACCCGCGGTTTTGAAAAATCACGACGCGGCGTAAAATATATATATATACAACACAACAGGAGGGTGAAGCTCATTCCTGACGCGCAACCCGATGTGCGCTAATGAGGACCGTACGAAATAAATTAAAAAAAAAAAAAAATCAAGAGACAGAGAAAGAGAGAGAAGATACGAGGCGCATAGTTTATTATGATATTGCGAAGCCATCTTTATCTGCAAGCACGCTCGGCTTCATTTGCCCCAATCCCTCCCGAGATCCCACCATCTTGCCGATTCCCCCTTCGCGACCTCGTCTTTCCCCACCGGTTTCTTGCTAATAAGCCCGCAGCGATGTCTTGCTCCGTCCCGTCTTTCTCTCTTTCTCTTCCCTTCCCGCGAACGAGACGTCTCTTCGTTCGTGGCCTGTCGGAATTCAGCTCATCAGGGAATAAAAAACGCTAAAACAGTCGAGTCACAAAAGAAAGATTAAAGCGGAGAGAGGAGGATAAACGTGTAGAGGGAGGCGTGCTAGAGGGATTGCCCCGTTGTGCGCGCCGCATGCCTTTCTTCTCTCTCTCTCTCTTTCTTTCTCGACGTAAACTGTCAAATAACGCACCGAAACAAAGAGACCAAGGGACACTTAACGATTTCACGTCGTGTTCTATTGCAGGTCACACGGTATGTGTTTCAGAAAAATTGGAAAATTTATATTAGGCATAAAAATAACATCCGCGACCGTGATTAATTCTGACTCATAAGACTTTTTTGTTCGTTCTACCAGAGAGTCGTTGTTCTCTTGCGTTTTGTTCTTCTATATTTATACAGTCATCCTTCTATTTTTTATTTATTCCTTTATTTTTTTATTCCCTGTGTTCTTTTGTCCTTGTCGAAATAAATTTTTTTCCGAATATTAAACAAAAGTTATCGCACACAAATTTGGATAAAAAAAAAGAAAAAAATTATGTCATCGTACGTTTTCGGAAAAATCTGCGTTATAAATTAGACGGGAGTTGAAATAAGGACCCGGTAGCCTCTCTCTCCGAGTGGAGAAACGCAAACAGAGGACTCTCGTCGGCATAGGGGGACAATATCCCGCGTGCGCGTACGTTTAAAATAAAAAGAGAACAGGGGGAAAGCAGCGGGAGGTCGAAGAGGGGCCCCAACTCGAGAGAGAGAGAGAGATACGACCGACAAGCCCGAGGCCGAGTAAAGAACCGTCCGAAAACAAACAGACTGCATCGCGGAGTCGTTCGTTATGCGTCCATGGTATATTAATTATTCCCCGGGTCCAACCTCGACGAAGCCGGAGCACCCTTTCTTTTCTGTTGCTTATATTTCTTTCTTTCTTTTTTTTTTTTTTCTTACGTTCCTTCTCGATATCACGGATGGGACCCACCAACGAGATTGACGCGCACGATTAACGATTATCGAAGTTCTCGATGATTGTGTTCGACTATCGAAATTAAATTTTTGACCTCGCATTGATATTTCTATCTATGTTTTTCAATCGTTCAACATGTTATGCGAAGTGGAATAAAAACGAGCGCGTTTATGGAGCCGCTTGGTCTCTTTTAAAACAATGTATTTTTATAAAAATATGCAAAATTATGTCCTAATAATTAAATCTTGTTGAGAAGTTACTAAACTACGAAATATATCTACGGTCATACGAGCCGATCGCAGGATGTTGTGTGGAAAAATGCGTATATATATATTATATATATATTATATATATACATATATATACATATATATACATTATATATATATATATATATATA